ATGGAGACTAAGAGAATGATACAAAAAAATCAATGAAGCCAAGAGTTGGTTCTTCAAAAGAATAAACCAAATTGACAAACCCTTAGCCAACCTGATCAGAAAAAGGAAAGAAAAGGCCCAGATCCATGCAATCAGGAATGAAAAGGATGAAATTACAATGGACCAAGCAGAAATCCAGAGGATCATCAGTATCTACTTCAAGAACCTACGCGCCAATAAGAAGGAAAACACAGAAGAAATGGACAGATTCCTAGATACATATGAATTACCAAAGCTGAACAAGAAGACCTAAAAATTCTAAACAACCCAATATCAATCAATGAAATTGAAAATGTAATTAAAAACTTACCAACTAAGAAAAGCCCAGGTCCTGATGGCTTCGTCGCTGAGTTCTACAAGACATTTAGAAAGGAACTACTGCCACTACTGTTTAAACCCTTCAATGAAATTGAAAGGGAAGCAATACTTCCAAATTCATTCCTGGAAGCAAGCATCACCTTGATTCCCAAAGTAGAGAAAGACCTAACCAAAAAAGAGAACTCTAAGCCAATCTCACTAATGAACATAGATGCAAAAATCCTCAATAAGATACTGGCAAATAGAATGCAGAAGATCATTACAGAGATCATACACCCTGACAAAGTGGGAATCATCCCAGGGATGCAGGGATGAATGGTTCAACGTACACAAATCAATAAATGTACTATACTATATCAATAGACCCAAGGATGAAAACCATATGATCATCTCAACAGATGCAGAAAAAGCATTTGAAAAAATCCAACATGCATTTATGATAAAAACCCTAAAAAAATTGGAATAGATGGTCTCTACCTCAATCTTGTAAAAGCCATCTATGAAAAACCAACAGCCAATATTATACTAAATGGTCAAAAACTGAAATCCTTCACATTAAAATCAGGCATAAGACAAAGATGCCCACTATCACCATTCTTGTTCAATATAGTTTTGGAAACATTAGCCACAGCAATTAGGCAAGAGAAAGAAATAAAAGGAATAAAAAGATAGGAAATGAAGAAGTCAAACTATCATTATTTGCATATGACATGATACTTTACATAGAAGACCCCAAGAACTCCACCAAAAGTCTTCTAGACTTAATAACAAAATTCA